GAATCCCTAGCGACTCTCTCACTGGACCTATTCTTACATCTCAGAGTAAATAAAATATCGACAAACCGACTAACACTAATTTGCAACAAGCCCCAATTGGATGTGATGCCCCTCCCTCTAATGCTCTCTCCGAACCAGTCGAAGCCCCTCTCACTCTGCTACAATGCTATTCTGGGGGTCCGGCTCATGCGAAACTATCATACATGTCTCAGTGGGAGAAGGAATTGAGTATGAAGTTTCCCATAGAACAATGGCACGAAGCCATGGCAATGACAAAAAAAGCCTCCAGAAGCCTTTCGCTGTGGGAGGCATACTGCAAGATAGCTATGAGATGGTATTTAGTAGCGCACAGACTAGCCCGCATGTACCCAGGGACTTCCGAGATCTGCTGGAGGTGCAACAGAGGGGTAGGAACAATGCTACACATGTTCTGGGAGTGCCCAGACTTACAAAACTATTGGGAACAAGTAGAATCAATAATCCTAACCAAAACACATGTGAGACTAGCACGCAGGCCAGAACACTACCTCCTACACATGCTGCCCGCATTGGTGGGACACCCCCACAAAAAAGTGATCATAAACATACTGACACTATCCAAAGTCAATGTAGCGCTTCATTGGAAAAGTAAAACAACTCCCTCTGTGGCAGTCGTTAAACAAAAACTAGACGTAATTAGCTCATATAAACACATAGCCTAGCGACTCCAGGGATGTGAAGAAAAATTTGCAAAGGACTGGGGATGCTGGATATCTGTATAAGTTGCGATAAACGCCAATAGAGCAGAGCTGTTGAGAGGTCAAGAAGACCAAGGTAGTCAAACTAAATGATGTATGATAACTGAAACGCTGTCAAATACTATGTTGCATGAACTCAACCCCCTCCCCCCCTTTTTTCTTTCTGTAACCTCCCCCCTTTCCCCTATGTTCATGATAAAAAACGAACTGTCACGCTTATGTTAGAGTATCATAAAAAAGGACAGCACAGCTAGAGAAGATGCAAACGTAGGTGGCAAGGCATGATGGTGGAACACTACTTATCGAATAACCCACCGAGATGATAGTACATGTATGCCAAACAATAAGTATGCTAAATCCACATGTTAACCTATGTTATGTTATTTGCCGCTAACCAATATATGCATGCTGTACCTGTCCTGAAACCAACGTATTTATGTACCACTGTGATGACATTTCAATAAAAATTAAAGATGGGAAAAAAAAAAAGTAATTACAAAACAGAGACTTTCAAATAAGGTACCGGTAATTATAAGAAAGCATAACCTAGCTTCCTGCGCCCTCCATTAGGCAGAATCTTCTAAACCTTATGAATTTATCGCAGACTCCCCCCCAAAATCTTCTTTTAGCAGTCTTGAAAATGGATTCTTCAATTCCATCATTGGCCTCTAGAGTATTGAATGGAAAAGAGGATGGATTTTGTTGTACGTGGAAATTAGTAAATAGGAAACGGTTTTAACAAGAAGCCCCTGTAGATTTCTTTTCCAATTTCTATTTATTTATTTAACAGCTCTTATCTAGTGATGATATCCAGAGAACCTATTGTGCTTCGTCTTGAAATTCCAGATCTTACAATCCCATAAAAGATCAGAAATCTATATCTACATATATTTTGCACGCTACGTTCCGCCGTAGCAGCAGACAAAGTTTCTGACAATTGTCTTTCCCTTATGTTACTTTCTTCGCGCAAGCTAAGGCTGGTTGCTAGGAAACCACAGTTAAAGACGAATATTTGCCTTTCCCTGGCAGTGAGGAGCCTTGGGAGAGAAGAGATCTCTTATGCCCTCCTTAAATAGAATCATCGGGGAATGAAAGTTAAAATATTAACTGTTAAATATGCAAAGGATGTCATTGCAAAGGTCTTGGAGATGTTCTGAAACCATCCGTTTTACGTGGTGCTGTAAAGGAAAGGTTCTGGGATTGTTAGAATTTAGATGAATCAGACTCAGAAGACTTGCAAAAAGTTGGATATATTTAGAGCAAGACAGATTTTGTTTGTAATGCAAAAATGTGTGGTTGGCTGAGGTCATGGGTAAAAAAGGAATGAAAAATGGATTAACCCCTTTTTTGTCATTGAGCCATTTCCTACACAGTGCGAGGGACATTTGTATGTGGTTTGATGCAGTTGCTATGGAAATCTGAACATGGTGCAATATGGCATTTTTCAGAGATATAATCTGCCAAAGACATTAAACCCTTCATAAAAATAGGTTTAAAATGACATAACAGAGCAGTACATTGTACATCCTGCTAAACTTAGAACTCATCTGTCATACATTTTAGTAAGCCACAAAGATCTGCGTTCAAAACAAGGCAGATAATGATAGGAATAGAGTATAAAAAAAATGATTATTTTATCACCCATTCAAATGAAAACTATTTTTGAGTGGGTGCGGGGATTTTTTTGTAAATAAGGATACAGGTAGAAGCTAGCTTATATCAATGACAGAAAAACACACAGATAAAAATTAACTAATGTATACTTTCCAACATTGGTAGGTATAAACGGCTGTCCAAAAGGGCCGATCCCCACCCAAACAGGGTGCATGTCAGCTCGGACAGTTTTTTTGTCAAGGCAGCCCATGCATAGAGTGCTACTAAAACATTCCTGCAGAAGATAAATGTTCTAAGCTACGTTTGTGCAGTGCAAGCATGCTGTAAGGAGAGTGAGCACGTCTTATGATGCACACATGTTGCACTCCACAAAGCAACACACCAAGGAACAAACCCCGGACAGCAGGATGACTACCCTAAACTGGGACATTCCCAGCGAATCTCGGATTCAGGGCAGATTAAGACAGGGGCTATTTGAGGTCAATGGAGCTCCAGGTCCTTGCTTATGAAATAAGTCCATTGAATAAAAATATATATATTTTTTTACTACTCTTCATATGTGCTTGCTTTTTAATGTTGCAAATAGGGGATTAAATATGGTAAATTAGGAGGGTTACAGGGGTACAATACTAGTGTAAGCTGCCTGACTGCAGAAATGATCTTAGTGGTTCTGTTTTAATATCAATGGGACATGTCCCCTATCTGCCACACTCACTACAGCCACCTCTTTCTCAGTCCCAGGCTAAATACCAGGAGCTCCTGCCTGCTAGTATCAAGGGAAGGAGCGGAATGCAGAATTGAGTGCTGAAGAGAAAGGATTCAGAGTGAGCAGGGGCGTACCTAGAGCATTTGGCACCCGGGGCGGATCCTGTGCTTGGCACCCCCCCAAAAAAAAAAAAACCTGTAAAAAATGTTAAAGGTTTTCTTTAATTAATCCACACTCCTTAATTAAACCATACCCCTTAATTAATCCATACCCCTTAATTAATCCACACTAATTCATCCACACACCCTTAATTAATCCACCCCCTTAATTGATACACACACCCTTAATTAATCCACACTAATTAATCCACCCCCTTAATTAATCCATTCCTAATCCACCCCATAATAATTCACACTAATTAATCCACCCCCCACTAATCCATCCCCTTATAATCCACCCTAATTAATACACATATATTAATCCACCCCCCTTAATTAATCCACTACCCATAATTAATTCCCCTTAATTAATCCACCCCATAATTAATCCACCCTATAATTAATCCACTCGCCTTAATTAATCCACCCCTATAATTAATCCACCCCCCATAATTAATTCACCCCCTATAATTAATATATACCACCCCCATAATTAACTCCCCCATAATTAATACACCCCCATATTAATATACACCCCATAATTAATACACCCCCCATAATTAATACACCCCCCATAATTAATACCCCCCCATAATTATATACACCCTATACTAATATACACCCCCATACTAATATACCTCTCTTTTCTCTCTCTCACCCTCCTTTTCTCTCTCACCCCACCTCCTCTTTTTTCTCTCTCACCCCTCATTTCTCCCTCACCCTCCTTTTCTCACCCCCTTTCTCCTCTTCTCACCCCCCTTTCTCCTCTTTTCTCACCCCCTTTCTCCTCTTTCTCCCCGCCTCCCCCCTACTTTTGCTGTAGCGTGGCCGAGCCCAGTATAGTCCGCGGGTACAGGTATCTTTTGTTTCCTGTACCCGGCCGGACTAACAGGAAGTGCACACACTGTGATGCTCCCTGTACAGATGCTCCCTGTACCCGCCGACTAAACTGGGCTCGGCCACGCTACAGCAAAGGAAGCTGACAGGAGGGATCGCTGAGCGCTTCCCTCCTGTCAGCCCCTCTCCCCATGCTGCGCCCGGGCGGTGCGGTCCGCCCTCATGGACGCACCGCCCGGGCAAAGCTGCAGCATGGGGGGGGCGGCGGGGCTGGTCATGGCTCCCCCCATCTTGGTGGCACCTGGGGCGGACCGCCCCCTCCGCCCCCCCCCTTAGTACGCCACTGAGAGTGAGAGACAGGAGATGAGAGCTTTGGGGTTTGGCAGATGGACAGAAAGATTTGGTGAAGAGATGGAAGTGAGAGATCAGCATAGGATATGTGTATTCTTGTTAATTCATCCAGTGAGTGTCCCTCTGACATCATCTCCACCAGATACAGGACACTTGTGAGGTATGACTGTTTTAGTGTTTTCTGTCTATAAGATTCTGTAATTAGGCCCGTTGTGCTTGTCAGCACCAGACCCAATGAGCTCTTAATTCCGCCCCATCTGGATTGGTGGGATGTTTGCCTATGGATGTCTACAACATTCTAATAAAAGGCAGACATTTACTAGGCATGTTCTGTAACTTTACGCACGCACACCCACATGCACACCCACAACCACGCACCTTGATCTTTTCTAAATTTGTTGATTAGAATATATATCTAGGTAGCGAGCTATTAATGGAGATTCATGTCGCACTTTTTTTGTGGCCACATGTTCATTTCTTTATTACATTTACTGCTGTATTTCATTGCTTTTAACTAGTGATGTCCCGAACGGTTCGCCGAACGGTTTGCCACGGACTCATCATTGAGTAAACTTTGACCCTGTACCTCACAGTCAGCAGACACATTCCAGCCAATCAGCAGCAGACCCTCCCTCCCAGACCCTCCCACCTCCTGGACAGCATCCATTTTACATTCATTGTGAAGCTGCATTCTTAGTGAGCTGTCCAGGAGGTGGAAGGGTCTGGGAGGGAGGGTCTGCTGCTGATTGGCTGGAATGTGTCTGCTGACTGTGAGGTACAGGGTCAAAGTTTATGTTCGCCGTCCACGGCGAATCGTTCGGGACATCACTACTTTTAACATTTTGCATTTTTGTGTGTAAAAATCTACATAACAATTACCATTGTTCTGTTTCTACATATCAAATATAATTAAATAACACAATGAATAAAACGCACTCACGCCCCTTCTGCTTTGTTCTTTTGTTTACTTACCGTATGTGACATTTGCATATTTTGCAAAAATCGGGAAAAAACCTTAGTTAGGGATTCGTCTCTTTTTTTTGTGTGGTAATTCTGATAACTGTCATCAAAACTCAACAACATGACATCTTTTTATTCTCTTCCTTTCTATTTAAAAAAAATAAAATAAAATGACCAGGAGTGGGACTTAAAGAAGGTCTCACCAAATTGTTTTTGCACTCATGCCCTGGGTGTTTTTTCACCCTAGCAACACCCCTGCCACAACTTTATTAATATTTAGCCTGCTGGATGCTGACATTCAGCCGTGAACCAAACTAGTAACATGTTCAGGAACCCAAACAAGCTAAACTGCTGCGTGTTGGCTGAGCAATGGAGCCTTTACATCCCAACCTGTGCACAGGCTGTTTCTATGGTAACCTACAGAAGTGTGGGTTGGAAATAAAAAAAGAGTAACAATGCAGTTTTTTTTTCTCATTTGCATATTTTGCATGGCATTCTGGGTGCGTTGTGGTTATAGGGCAGATGTATAATATTGGTTATAAAATACTGTCGTATATACTATAACGATCTGGAACCAGTTTGAGAAAGGCGCTTCTTACCTCTTCACTGGTCAACACCTTAATTTGCTTGTCACATTGTACTTTAATTTGCTTTATCATGTATCCATTACAAGAAGTTGGAGAATATGTTCATGCATTATGCACATATTAATAATGATAATAATGATAATAATAATCGTTTTTCTTTTTTTATATAGTTTGCGTATGCTGTTTCGGTGCTGAAAGAGTGCGCTAAACTCCGTCCTACGGACATCACAGTTCTTCTCCTCGCTGCCAAGATCTGCATTGGACCACTGCACTGGGTAGGGAAACTCCTGCAACCTTTCTTATATAATCCACCGAGAACCACCTCTGATGCCGCATTGCAAAACAATTATTTTAAAAAATGACACATCAGAGATCACAGCTAGGAAAGTATTGTAAATAATACAAAAAAAGCTCACGTATCTGTAAACATTCCGCTGAAATAATGTTTTCTGCAAGCCGAAAAAAGAATTCCCATAACAGACTAAAGCTTCTTTCTGCTGACTAATTAAGCAAGTGTCGTGGCCTCATTCACTCAAGATCCTGTTTTGTTTTTTGGTTTTTTTCTCTTTGTCCCCCCCCCCTGTTTTTCAGCATTTAATTAGAGCAATCTTTGATGCAGAGTGAGAGCATTAGGACTGGCATAATGTGCAGTGCTTAATTGATTTGCATGTAGCAAAATAGGTTTGGTGTCCTATGCAATGGTGTTTTAATACAAATTGACAGCAATCTATACCTTTGTATAGATTACAATGAGTTTGAGAAAAAAATCGAATGCAATACATCTTTGCAGCATACAACACTTCATTAATTCCCGCAGATAGCCTGGGATTTTGTAAATGTTCTCGTGATATAAACATAATTGGGCTTTTTGCTGCTGCAAGTTCACCAGGCAAAAAATTGATGTCTGTAGTTGGCATGTTTGAATACATAGTGCTGAGTTTTGCTTATACAGTGGAAACTCGGAAATGGAGCGCTCCCTAACCCGAACAATTCAGTATTCAAACATAAACCTAAACCTATTTAGTTTAGAAAAACGTCGCCTGAGAGGGGATATGATAACATTATACAAATATATTCGGGGCCAATACAAACCATTGTGTGGAAATCTAGTCACAAACCGGACTTTACATAGGACACGAGGCCATGCATTTAGACTGGAAGAAAGAAGATTTCGTCTAAGGCAAAGGAAAGGCTTTTTTACTGTAAGAACAATCATGATGTGGAATTCTCTGCCTGAAGAAGTGGTTTTATCAGAGTCCATACATATGTTCAAACGGCTACTAGATGCATACTTGCAAGAACAGAATATTCAAGGATATAATCTTTCAATGTAGGGTAATAACTGCTTGATCCAAGGATAAATCTGAGTACCATTCTGGGGTCAAGAAGGAATTTTTTTCCTAGCTTGTTGCAAAATTGTGCTTCAAACTGGGTTTTTTTGCCTTCTTTTGGATCAACAGTAAAAAAACAAATGTGAGGTAGGCTGAACTTGATGGACGCAAGTCTCTTTTCAGCTATGTAACTATGTAACTATGTAATAAAATTATGGAAAAAAATGTCTCGGTACCTGAACAAAACTCGGTATTAGAACAAAATCGCACAGCATTAACCTCATTGGAACCTTGTTGGTATGATGCATTGTCCTCCTAGCACTAGACAAAGTGAACAGAGCTCCATTCTGTCAGCGAACAGAGCTCCATTCTGTCAGCAAACAGAGCTCCATCCTGTCAGCAAACAGAGCTGACAGGTAAAGAGAAGTTGCATTTTCATTTCATTTACATTGTTTATTGTTTTTCTTGATGATTTTATACATGTAAGGTATTACCAAACTGTAAATTTTTTGTTAAAATGCTGTCATTTTGGGGGGCCTGGAATAGATTAATCTAATTTACATTAACTTGATTCGGTTTTCGAACAAATCGGTTCTCAAACAGCCTGCTGGAACGGACTTAGTTCGAATTCCAAGGTTCCACTGTACATTTATACATTTTGGATTACGCAGGACTGTGCCCCTCTCATGTAGTGAATACTGTTCTTTGGTCAATATATAATGGACTGCAAAGGGACTGTAGTACAAATGCCAAGGTATAAAAATATATTTAAAATTCTACTAAATTAGCATAAAATATGATTTTCCTTGGTCCATTCCGGACAATTCTCCGTTGATTGAATATCCCTGTACCCTGCCCTAAGTTATACTATTTGCCAGTTCTAATAACGAAGGTTGGATTAAATGCTGTCTATATTCTACTGTGAATTTTCTTCGTCCCTCTGCAGAGTTCTTCTGTAATTTGAGTTGTATTCTGTTTGTATGATGCATTTTTTGTTTTTTTCCCCCGTATACTTTAATCACTTGATAGATGGCAAACATTGTGTCCTAAGATTATTGGGGAATAAACTATAATTTGGATACATATAATTACAAATGTGTTCACTTTTTCAAGAACGTTTGACTGCACATATAGAACAAATGACTACTTGTCATGTTTATATAAAGTCAGTTTAGAAGGAGCATTGTTGAATTTAATCCAAAGACTCTCAATTATATTTAGCTCCATGTAAGTTGTTGGTTAGAGTTCAGCTCGATCGTTGTCATAATCTTGTCTTGCTCATATGCTCAATGTGTATCTTGAAAACAGATGTGCATCTTATCCACAAGTAACTTGGCAAGGGGAAGAAGAATAAAAGTGTTGCCAATGGAAAAATACAGTTGTGCTCAAACGTTTGCATACCCTGTCAGAAATTGTGAAATTTTGGCATTGATTTTGAAAATATGACTGATCGTGCAAAACATTTCTTTTATTGAAGGATAGTGATCATCTGAAGCTATTTATTATCACATAGTTGTTTTGCTCCTTTTTAAATCATAATGATAACAGAAATCACCCAAATGGCCCTGATCTAAAGTTTACATACCCTTGTTATAGACACACAAGGTGACACACACAGGTTAAATGGCAACTAAAGGTTAATTTCCCACACCAGTCGCTTTTTAAATTGCAATTAGTGTCTGTGTATAAATAGTCAATGAGTTTGTTAGCTCTCACGTGGATGCACTGAGCACTAGATGCTGAGCCATAGGGAGCAGAAAAGAACTGTCAAAAGACCTGCATAACAAGTAAAGGAACTTTATAAAGATGGAAAAGGATATAATGTCACATCCTGTTCCGTTCTGCACAAATGTCTGGCCTTGGCTTCTGGTATCCAGTACTCTTTTTACAATTCTTGTTTAGTTTTTCTTGTTTTTTTCTGGTTTTCTATTCTATGTCTGGTTTTCTTTATACTGGGATTTCTGGGTTCATTCCTTTATTCCGTTCCTGCAAGTCCCATTCTCATGGATTCCTTTAAATGTTTGTTTTTTGTTGCCACACCCATTCCTTTGCCATTAATCCTTTTTGTTTCAGTCTGTTCCTGCAAGCAGTAGTCTCATTTCCTCTGCTACTTTCCTTGCAGGTAAGTACTGTGTGTGTTTTATTGTTGTTTATTTAGTCATGCATATCTAGGCGGTTAGGACCCACCGTAATTGGAGTACTTTGGCACAGTGGTGGACTGCATACATCTTGGCCATTTATGTATGTCTAAATCTCCAATGTTTATTACATATATAGTACTTAGTTATGTCTCCTCTTGTTTTGCCTTGTATCTCTTGTCTTGTTTTATTTTGTCTTGTATTCCCAGTTCATGTACAGTCCTGTCCTGTTAATGTTTCCCTCATGTATTGCGTACATGTTCTGGGTTCTGCTTCCTGTCCTGCTCCAGTTCTGGGTTCTTCTAGTCTTGTCTTGTTATCTTGTTTGGTGCCTGTTCTAGTCTTACCTTGTTTCTAGTACTGGATACATTTTTGCTGTAGAGCCTCCCTATCCAGATCCTGGGAGGTCTGCATTTTATCATCTAGCACCTGGAATCCGTAGAAGCTGCATCAGGGCCCTGGTATGTGGCCGCACAAACGCTGGTGCTCAACACCAGGGGGCGTGTGGTTACCCTGCACCAGGCCCTGATAGTTCATTTCCATGCTGTGACTCCAATCTTCATCTTTGGACTGCCACCTGTGACATATAAAAAGATATCCAAAGCCTTGAAAATGTCAGTCAGTGCTATTCACAAATTTGGGGATCTCTTGATACCAATGTCAGGTAGACCAGGAAAGATTTCAGTTACAACTGGCAGAAGAATTGTTTGGGATACAAAGAAAAACCCACAGGTAACCTCAGGACAAAT